GGTCAAGAAAATGTGCATCTATACATCCACTCCCCATGCACCTCCATGGCGTAGTGCTTAATTAGTTCAGCACAAGGATGACTTTACCTTACCGAACTCAGCTGTATGGGCCTAGGTGGACCATGTTGTGTTGGCTGCACTGACCTGAACATTCCCGCGTTACAGCACTTCTTTCTAAAATCACTTTTTTGGGTTTCCATTCCGTTCTTTATTTTTGTCTGTTATTTTTATCCGGCTCTCTCGCTCACTGTCTCCTTGTCGGTTTTTGTATTCCCGCCTTCGGGGCCGCGCCATAGCTCAAGCGATTAGTCGCTGGCTTCCCACCGGGGCGGCCCGGGTTCGATTCCGGGTCTGGTCACGTGGGCTTTGTTGTGGACAAAGTGGCGCTGGGGCAGGTTTTCTCCGAGTACTTCGGTTTCCCCTGCCAATCTTCATTCCACCAATTGCTCCACAATCACCCTCGCCTATCATCTGAGNCAGACCTTTTTATGCCGTTACGAACGCATGCGCACTCTGAACTCATCCGCCCAATTCACATTTGCATTTCCATAAGGATCACGTTCTGTCCCCAGGAACTCACCGAAACAGAATCTGGCTATTGCGACATGTGCCTGTTTTGCATGAAGTATACCTCAATGTATTTATGGCGGCTATTCCTCGCAACGGTTTTGAAGTGTATTTCATATCAATTATAGAGCGATTGCATAATAACATAAACTGGGGGTGAGAGGGTTGGGATCAAAAGCCGTACAATTAATTTACCCCGGGAAATAATCTTTTGCAGCAATCCAATATCGTAGAATGTAGTATTTGTTGTCGCGTCTGACATTTCGTCATTAAGGTTCATAATATTAATTGGAATCCCGTGCCCTGTGACCCTTGCTGAATGCTGGAGTAGAACAAGTTATCGTTGTGCTTAAAATCTGTACAAGGCTATGAAAATGTTACAGGCTGTTCGCAGTTTAAGCCCCAGTACTAGATGGAGGCGAGTGGTCACCTTCACGCCTCGGCTTCTTTACCACGGTGTAATATGCCTCAAGTAACTTCTGGTTATGACCCACAGCCGGGTTTGAGACTATACGAAAGGGATTAATCTGTTTTCCTTGCCGGGAATCGAACTTCAGTGCGTCGCACAGTTACCCTTAGGATTTCAGGAACCCCGGCTCTGTAGTACTTGGCCTGTACAGTAATTTCAAATGTGATCTGACTTTACCTGGAAAGTGTATGTGCAGGCGGTCATGCACTAGACAGAGGAACGCGCAGAAGAAAGCCTTTTCACTGTTGGGTTAAAGAAGGTAACGCTATTCCTGTAACAGGCCCTAGCAGGCCTGTAGGTTTGTAAGACATTGAGGCTCCCACATTTTCAAGACAATCGGCTCACAGATGTTGGTAAGGTCAGCCTTACGCGCCGACCGCCCTTTACCCCCAAGAAGATTCCTGGTACTCATTTCTGTTAGAGGCTGAGTCGACCCCCTGGCCATAGTGCGGCTGGAAGGATTAGGTCAATTGAAAAAACTCGAACCTGCGACCTTCCGGCGTGTAGCATAGTGCCTGAACCAATTGCGCTACCGCCCTAATTTCATTTTTACGATTCGCGTTTCATAACGAGGCTCTGGGGATCGAGATCAGGCGGTTCAATATTACATCTGATTAGAGGAATGGCGGCATGCGGTTCGTGAGAACATGAACCGTCTCTGTGATACTCTCAGGGCTGTGAGCGTCACGCGGTAGGATAACTAGTAACAAATGAATTGGAAGGGATGTGGAAGGAAGTGGCTGTCCTGTCCTAGAGGAACCGATAATATCCAGGAAAATTGCGTTTGGGACAGCGGATATCTCGGCCGAGAATCGAACCGATTCCCCTGAATAAAAATGTAGAGCCTTAGCGCTACGTAAGCCTGCTCGGTCATTGCTTGCGGAGCGGAAGAAACGCCACTGCATAGTTCAGGAAGATATCCTCTGCTTCGAGGTTAATTGCGGACGACTGTCATGAAAGAAAACAGTATACGAGGGAGGGCCAGTAAATAGGGCACAGATGGAAGTAAAAGCTGGCCACTCACCTCCATCTAGAGCCGATGTCAAGGAAGGTGGAGCTATACCTGTACTTCCCCATACGTCTTCGTGGCATAGTCCTTCATTAGGCACAGGGACAACTTTACCTTTACTTTACGTGTTTTTCTGTCTTCGTTTTAGTACGTCCGTTTAAATGGCAGGAGGGGGGGGGGAGCTCTGCCGTCTGCTTCTCCCTGTTTCCGGAGATTTGGGATTAAGGTTGAAGGGTCTTGTAAAAAGAAAGACTTCGCGTGAGAAAAATAGCGACAGTGATGATGGTATCTTCCGTGACGTCACCGTCTCTGTGTATTCATTTCCGCTGTCACTTAGTTTATCTCTTTGATCCAGTGAAACGAAAATAATGTCATCTTTTTCTGCTTTCGTTTTTATGCCGGTTTCTCTTCATTTGGACACGAACCCGAGCCGCATGCGCTTAGAATGAACACGTTATGTGGATAGTTAAGTTGCTTGGGCTGTACAGTGTAGGGACTGGACCGTCACTCCCCCCCCCCACGGTACCCATTGGATAGGAGGCTGCGTGGGCCCCACAACAGGTCTGGACGACGTGGAGAGAAGAAAATCTCGTCCATACAGGGACTCGAACTCCGACCCCTCGACCGTCCATCCCGTAGCCAGTCGCTATACCGACTGAGCTCGCAGGAAACACATTACGTCACCACTACAAAGCCCAACCGGTTAATGCTGTTTGGGGAAACAGCCGCTGTTTACTGTGAGAACTATGCGGAACACACAGATACACTCTGTGGGCAGAATGCAGAGTTTTATTATGTTCAGTCCGTACGTCACAGGAAACACATTACGTCACCACTACAAAGCCCAACCGGTTAATGCTGTTTGGGGAAACAGCCGCTGTTTATTGTGAGAACCATACGGAACACACAGATACACTCTGTGGGCAGAATGCAGAGTTTTGGTATGTTACAGCGGATGGTACATATAGTGACCACTGGGCTTTGAAAGGGTAAGGAATTTCGCTGTTATTGAAATTACAGTACATCATGAAATTCACTGTAGAGTATAACTTCGCCCTTAAGGAAATTTGGGATGAATATTTGCAATTTTTAAACAAAATGAAAACGATGGAATTTTTATTTAATCATATAGATTACAGTACGCCGCGGGGGAGGGCGGTGTGTGTTGGTATTTCGGCCCAAATATGTGTTCCGTTGTTTCTGTACAGCTTTTGTTCGAACCATTTTTCGCTCCGATAAATATTTAAGAGAGTTTGACGCCCAGAAACGCACGTCCGTCTTCATGTAGTGCCCGGTGTTGTTGCCCAGTGTTAACCCAAACCGGAGTATGAAACTGCCCCCTGTCAAATTTAATAAAAATCAGCCCATGGTTCCCGAATTGTTAAATGCGGCTGGACAGGAGTGACGGGGCGCGGAGAGCCGACGAAGCGCATTTTTGCAACTATTCATTGTGACCCCTGCCATGTAGATGAGGGCTATGCGTGTGTGCTGGGCGGATCTGCGTTTTACATCATGTCGTTTGTGTCAAACCCTTTCAACTCCCCTTGCCGGCAACACGCTATAACTACACCCTTTCATCTCTCCTGTGAGCAAGTGAATGCGTGACGCCCGCACCGCGCGTTGCCACTAACGGGAACGAAGTTACATGCTGCTGTTATTTCGTGAAGGTAAAAAAGGTTAAGTTATCCATGTACTTAATTAAGCGCTGTGTCATTAAGGCATGTGAGGGAGTGGAGGTAGAGCTCCACCATTCTTGACCTCGGCACTAGATGGAGGTGAGTGGTCAGATTTGCGTCCTGGCCGCTTTATCCCCAGGGATAGAGTCCCCTGTTGGATCCTAGAGCCTGTCTGGACCCTGTGGCGCGGAGAAGAACCTCTTGACCCTGCCTCCTGGGGTCTCCAGCCCGTAGCACAGTCGTACTCACTACTATGACTGAGCTATTCCGGCTTTGCAACCAATACCTGTAAACAAATTGAGTCGGTATGGCTACGGACCGAACGGTCAGGGTTTGATTCCCGGTAGAGGCAAGATTTTCCTCTTCTAGACCGGTTCCGGGCTCCACCCAGCCTCCTATCCGATGGGAACCTGGGGAAAAGCAACCGGTACGTGGAGCTGACCACTAACTTCATCAAGTGCTGAGGTCAAGAAAGGTGGAGCTATACCTCAACTCCCGCATTCATCCTCATGGCCAACTTTACGTTTTACCTCGTAAACAAAATATTGCACCCGGAAACGTGTTTGTATGTATGTTTCGGCACGTGACACCGCGGGATGCGACGTGTCAGCCGACCGCACCGTGCAGTGAGGGGGTGTGACCCTCCACAGAGGGCGGGAGGGAGGTCTCTTGTGTACTGAGGGTTGTATAATCACTGCGGCAGGGAGAAAGCCTGCCCATGTACGCCATGGAACACGTGTTACGTGAACACAAGAGACGCATCGTTGCGTAGCGTCCAGGTGACATGTTGTGTGCTGTTCTCATTAACGAGTTCCGGGAACGCGGCCTTGTCGCGTTCTGGAACTTTAAGTAGGCTCTCATAATGATATGCCATATGTCACGCTCTAACAGCGGTGTCTTGGGATGTGACGCCGTGCAGTCCGGTCGTTCGCCGAAGTTTGAGAGAAACCTATGTGCTCCCATCTGTAGGGAGGAAGAGAGGAAGAAGCCAGCAGAAAAGAATAGACAAATGACGTACATTTGAATTTATGTGGTTTTGCATCTAAATCCAAATGCACGTGCAATTAGACAAGGCAAATATGACAGTGTGGCATGCGGCTTAAAGTATTATGTTCATCTCTGTCTGCGATATTGCTTCTGTCCTGGCACTTGAGCCAGTCTGTGGACCTACAGAACTCCCCGTGACCCCAGTTCTGTAGGTTTCGGTGTTTCCGTTTCAAGTAGAACGTTCCCGTGCTCTCTCAGGGTTTTAACATAATTTCTTCTGTTTTGTTTGCAGCCCACCATCTTTGGAACTGTTGCTTCTGACCAGACACCAAAAGATGGCTCCAGCTGTAGAAGGGTAAGTGAATGACAATCTGATCAAGATACCCGGGACACTAGAAGGCAACTTTTTGAAACATTAATTTTGCCGGTTTTGTCCGTTTTGCTAGATAATGAGTTAGGCAGAACAAAGCTGTTGGCACTACTGTGTATGTATTGCTTAGTATATCGGAAATGTGCTCGTTGGACGCGTCGCAATTACGTCATTGCCTAACGTCTGGGAATTAAGTCACTTCTGAACGTGTGGGAATTACGTCACTGGCGAACGCGTTGGAGTTACGTCACTGATTTGAACGACGATCTTTGTATCTGAGTTCCTCTCATGAATTTTGTAAACTCATTTTTGAATGCCTACACCTTCTGTGCATTCTTCTGTTTCAAATGCTTACTTGTGGGCTAATTCTCTGAGGGAAGTGATCTTCTTAGGTTTGCTTGGTCTCCCTTTTTATACCTCCCGCCACACCTGTTTGTACGCCTATACCGTGTATGCATTGTTACGTAATAGTGTTAACCTGCCGCTGATGTTCGATTGTTCAGACGTAAAGAGTAAACATTTGGACACGGTCTTTCCTGTCCACCACCCCCACCCCCCGTTCTCATGGGACGTGTCGAGTGACTGTTGGACAGCCAACATTGTTAGCTTTTCCGCCCAATCCATGCGTTGCTAACAAGGGATCACGATATAACAATGCTGTTTTGTGCTGGGTACTTCCAGAGAGTCGCGTGTAGAGAGGCTGCTGCAGTAAAGTAGCACCGAACCTTGTTGTGATATGCGTGGCCTCTGCGTGTGTCTTCTGCGGGACATTTCATATTCTTTCTCAGATCGCGGTGTATTGGGCAGGGTATGTAGCACGCATGAAAGCGAAGAGGAAAGCACGTTGGCTTTTGGTAGGAAAGCCAGAAGAGACGAGACCACTTGAAAGATCTAGACGTAAGCGGGAGCATAATATTAAAATGGATCTTAGAAAAATAGGATCGTGTGGTATGGATTGAATCGGTCTGGCTTAGAATAGGGACCGGATGAGGGCTTTTGGGAACGCGGTAATGAACTTTCGGGTTCCATAAAATATTTAGGAAATTCCTGACTGGCCGAGCGACTGTTGGCTTTTCAAGAATGACTTAGCTGCATGGAGTCAGTCAGTTCGTTAGTAGAGCGGTGTATAACAAAGAAAACCGAGACTACTCGGTTCACTGACGGTATATTTAACTACGCTAGGCGGTCCCGTAGCTTAGGTTGTTAGGTGATGGCTATGCACTACGAGGGCCCGGATTCAAACCCGTGCGACTGCATATGAGATTCATGGTGGGCGTAGTAGCACTGGAACAGATTTGTTTTTTCTCCGAATTCTCCACCATTACTCCATACTCAGATATGCACGGTAGCCCTGGTCAGGCAGCACAGTATCATATGCGGAGTCATTACATTTGTTGCGCCTTCACTGAACGGACACTTGGCTAGTTACGGAGTGAGAGCGTTACGTTTTTCATTACGCTTACAGTAGTCCAGCGTGCAGAGCATGTAATGTTCGTGAGTGATGGATTAGAAAGGATTAGGAATGAAGCCATCAGTGCCGATAATCTCTAAAGACTTCAGGCAAGATAACAGGTGTCCCGTCCGGGAATCGAACTGCTCTCCTCCCGACCAAAAGTTAGAAGCGTTATCGCTTGAGCTATGTTGCTCCCGTTCCAAAGCTTGTACAGTTTTTTCATCTGATGCCACTGTTGCACGAAACCGCCCCGCTTCCCGTAACTTGTGTTTTGTTCTGTGATGTCAGTAGCTATACCACATAGCGTCTGATGATAGAATAATTGATGAGCAGGAATTTGGAAGGAAGCGGTACTGGTCACACCGAGATACGAACAGGATATTTACCTGGAAGGACTAATGGAAAACACAAAAATAACACTCAGTCTCTTTAGCTGATATATCGGTCAAGATAAGAACCGAGAACCCTCCAGACGATTGACTAACATGTTCCATGTTCTGTAGTGAATCTCGCTGCTATGTAAACCAATTCTGTCGTACAGTAACTGACTGACACATTATTTCACGGCTGTTTTGTTGCCCAGTACCTGCAGAATGTGAATTTCGCAGCACACAAACGAATTCATCCGAAATTAATTCAATATGTGTACCCACTCATTCAGAGCTTTGTGTCCAACTCATTTCTCTACTTAATTCATTACAATTTTAATCAGTCAATGGTTTAATTTCGGCCCCTGTTTCCTTTTATTACATTTTAAGGTATGAAGAATGTTTTGCTCTGGGTCAATGAATTTGTGATGGCCAGTTTTGAAGTGATCAATATGGCGGCTGTTATGAGCAGCAAAATGGCTTCCTCTGATGTCCTTAATTCTGACGCGCTGTTAATCCGAGTTTTATGATTGGTTACAGTGAAAGGAGAGTGACTGCTTATCTAGCATCATAGTATCCGCCATTTTCTTTCACATTCAGTAACTTAAAATGGCACCCGAAGAATCTCTATGGATTTTATTTGCGTTCCAGTATAAACAGGAATATAAATAAACCAGAATGGAAATAGTAGTTCTGTATGAAGAGCAGAAAGCGGCCAACGACGTTCTTTGCGGTTAATTGAACGTACATGAAATTAATATAAAGAAGTGTAAAGTAACGGACTCTGTCATTTCGAGTTTCAGCAAAGTGTGGAAGGGTTCGCGGGATAAAACCAGGATTCATTATGGGTCATTCTGAATGGAAATTAGAATTGTCAGGCAGCGTTAAGTAAAAGTCACCCCCCCCCCCATCGAATTTGAAGAATATCTTACCAGGCTTTAGTAAGGCGTTCTTTTTTACTTTCTCGCATATTAGTGCATATGATAAAGTGCTGTGATTGTGGAAAAATCGGGCTTGATATTTTGACGGATTTGCACGTTTCCAGCCTCCCCTTAATTTGAAAAAAAAGAGTAGTTTTTGGAATACCTTATGCCTGTTTGTATCTCCACATGTGCACCTTGTTAGCTCGTGAGCGGCTGAACTGTATCTCCACATGTACACCTAGTTAGCTCGTGAGCGGCTGAACTGTATCTCCACATGTACACCTAGTTAGCTCGTGAACGGCTGAACTGTATCTCCACATGTGCACCTAGTTAGCTCGTGAACGGCTGAACTGTATCCATCACAGGTCGGCTCCTTGTGAACGTGACGCAGCAAACTAGCGATTTTCTCGAGAAGGGCTCTGACGATTTTGATTATATTTCGATAATTTTTGTAGACCATCTCTCTGAATACATCTACATACCCTATGTATTCAGGACAGTAACGGTTCACGAACTGGGGGCCCAAACGGGAAGTGTCGATTTTGTCGAAGCTGTCTTTACTTTCAGTATCCAATTAGTGACAGTGGATTACAGAGTAACAGTTTCTTTCCCAAGTCAATGTAAAGAAAAAGGTGAAGCTATCCATGTAACAGGCCGTGGAGGCCTATAGGATTGTGAGACGTCGAGGCGCCCACATATTCTCTAGACATTCGGCTCATAGATGGTGGTGAAGTTGTCAGCCTTACGCGCCGGCCGCCCTTTACGCCCAAGAAGATTCCTGATACTAATTTCTGTTAGAGNATTAAACAGGATGCTGAAATATAATATTGCAAGAAGATTCCTGATACTAATTTCTGTTAGAGGCTGAGTCGACTGCAGGGCCCCAGTGCGGCTGGAAGGGTTAGGTAAATTGAAAAATCCATTGACGTCATTGGGAATCGAACTCGCGGCTTGCAGTTTGCAGCATAGTGCCTCAACCAACTGCGCTACCGCATGCCCCAGCTAATCGCACATTTTCATTTTAAGGTATGAAATTACGTGATCAGAGTTCCGGAAATTGAAACGGAATGCCGTTGGGCGATTGGGGCAGGTTGAGTCAGCTGTACTGTTTCTTGGTAGGCTTCTTACTGGCGAGTGCCCTGAAGCGTTCCACTTTCTCCCTCTGTGAGGATCAGCTGCTTTGAAGCCCATTCCAAGAAGTGCGAGCTCCACTTGTGTCTCCATGTGCTGCAACGCTTTCCTCCTTGCGTGCAGAAGCCCTGATCTGATTTCGTATGTATTGCCCCCTATTTCCTAACAAATGCCTTCAGGAAACAAACAGACTAACAAAAACACAAAGAGGGTACGTCACGTTCGAGAGTGGTGTGTTGCAGCAAATGTAGGGGCCGGTACACGTCGTAACTCACTGCAAGAGAATGAATTGTGTTAGGCGTCTAGCGCACCCCATTTCGTGAGTGGTTTTCCGAAGTCAGCCTGTCGTTTCCCCTTGCCCCCTCCCCCTTTGAAAGCATTGTCTGTTTCGTATTCGACATTGATCAGCAGTGAGACACGTTCGCTGTTTTCATTCGACATAGATCTGATGTCACAAGTTTCGTCTGTCTGCCAGTCTCGCCTTCGCTGGCGTCCTGTCGCAGCTGCCCGGGTTCGATCCCAGGTCATATAGGATTTGTGGCAGACAAGTTGGCATTGAGGTACGTTTCCTCCGAGTACTTGGGTTTCCCCTGCCAATTCCCATTCCACCGACTGCTCCACAGCCTCACCTACCTTCCGGGGCTGGTACAATAGGCCAGTTGGTGGCCAACATACCAAGTGGACTCAGTCTCACCTCCACACAAAGAAATTAAAACTAACCTCTCAACTAACTCATTTCTCCATGACCTGCTGTCTCGCTTCCTGCAGACCGAGATGCTATCCTGCTTACCGCCTTGGATATCGCGACCTGCAGGCCTGCTTATCAGCTTACTTACCGAACAAGGTGATAGCCGTTGTACAACTTACCGTCGATCTGCCTTCACTAATACGTATACTAGGATAACATTGCAGGAAGTTCTGGTAGAACTAGTGGCCTACTTTTCTTTGATACAACACGGATCACCTACAAAACGACGTCTCCAAAAAATTCTTCGTTACCGCAGGAACGTGTTTATCGAGTTGATACCTACCAATGATAGGGGAACACAGACCCACAGACTCCCTTTGATAAGGCACGGATCTTATATGAAACGGCGCATATAACAATCC